TTTATGCAGGTAGGCAATAGATACTATAGTATTATTATGTATCCTTTTATGTGTAAGTTCCAATAGGAAACTTCTTGACATATTTTTCTCACTGAAGGAATTAGGTTGCATGGGCATTACTGAGGATGAAATATTTTTGCATTCCACCATATTGAACTCTATTGTAGATAGATTATTTCTGATCCAAGAGTTAAATGACATTAAAGGGAAGCACATGCTTAGTAATTTGATCTAAAAGGTAATAGATATTGCATTTTGAATATCATCAGAAGTATCTGGATATATCTGTGTTGTGGGTTTGGCTTTCACATTTCTCTCTGCAAGAAAGAAAAAAGTTTGTGACCCTATATCCCTAATGAACCAATAAGGCATTTATGTTTAGAACTGTGTTATATTTCAATTTTTAAGGGAAAAACTAAGGTTATTAATGTTCAATCTTATACATGTCTACTCAGAATTAAGTACTACTCAATTCAATAGTAAATGAGGTTGCAGCCTAAATAGTTCAACTCTGTCCTGAGGTTACACCATCGACTGCATTTATGGATAAATTGGGTTTCCTGCTTTCTGTGTAATTTGTTTTCAGGATTTTGACTCTAAATGTAATAACATTACATTGCTTCTAAACACATCTGGTTGTGTTTTCATCTGAATTTTTAAAACCCTAAAGCTCTCATTTCCTGTGAATTTGTGAATAAGAAGCACTGTCTGTTTCTTCGGTATCATTTCCGGGGGTGAGGTGAGATGGCCATCAGAGATGAGGCCTTTGCTCTAGTATCTGTTTTTGTGGTGCCAAATGTTGGGGCTTTTTGGCAAAAGGTAAAAACAGTACTGTTTTCCTGGAGTTTTAATGACTTTTCAATGCCCTTCAGTGCCTTTATTGGTTTGGTTCAGGTACTCAATTGCTGTTGAACAATGCTACCTTTTATTTTATTTTATTTTTATTTATTATTTGTTTAAAAAATACTTTGCAAGACACCTTGGAAATTTTGTACTGCAATCTGGCAGATAGATTCCATGCTAAAAGATCTTTTAGTGAGACTTGCCCTTAGCATGAGCTACCTTTCAAACTGGCTTATGTATTGTCAGAAAGTGGCATGAAGGGCAAGCCTAAAGCCCAGGAATGGGGCTATTGCCACCTACTTCCTTCTTCCCAGAGATTCCTTTCTGATCATGAGGAATCATGGTCCTCCTGTAACCTCACTTTCTGTTTTTATATGCAACTCTTCAGCCATATCTCTTTCCTGACTGCATCACATCACTCATAAGCAAGCCATTACTCATGAGAAGATGCAACTCTGGATCAAGAGAATAATCTTGGGATCCCATCATGTGCGAGAGAGTTTTGTTCCCTCCACCTAAGATGACTGACAGGGGGAACCAAACAGCCACACCCTCCATGGCAGGACCGCTGCTTCCTTCGTGCCTTTCAGTCCACATATTGTTCTTCCTTCCTCCATCATGGATCCTGCTCCTGCACTGGACTAGCTGGGATTACTGCCAAATGCCCACAATTATTTTAGCAGCAGTTAAACTTTGGGAAAGCAGCAAAGGAGTGTCAGGAGAGAATGTCAGTTTCATTTCCGGCAAACAAAGAGATGCATCTGACTTCTTGATCTTTCCAGTTTGGTACTGTTTAATTTAGTTTACGCGATAATGTATCCTACCTAAGATTACTACATCCGAGTGTTTACATGAACCTGTTACCTGTTATCTACCTCTTCCAACCTGTATGCTCCCCCAGCCAAAAAGTTCTTAGTTGCCAGGAGAGCTTCCCCAAAATTTGCTACTAAGAGCCAATTGCTATATGAGCATACAGAATTTCCTAACTATAGGTAGCAGTGAAGTAGAACTGAAAGGTTCTTTTTTGTTCCTTAACTCCTATGGCTTCTTGTCTCTAAACTTGTTCTGATTCTATTTGGACCAGATTAACTATGGTTTAGACAAAGGCATCCCAGTTCAAATGGGAGCTCAAGATTTAGTTTACAGGGTTGCCCATTGGTTCAGATCAGTTTCTGTCAACATAGGTATGGAGTTTCTGAGACTCGGGGGTGCGGGGGTGGAAGACACAGAAAATGCGAATCACTTGCATTTCATCTTTGAATTCCTTTATAATATGGGAGGTAGAATGCACTTACTTCCTTTCATAGTAAAATATGAAAAGAGTTCATATTAACATGCAAGTTAAAAATGTGTGGGTGAAGATTAGCATGTAAGCCCAGTCCACTGGGTTCACTCTGATTGCTGCAGCTCACTGTGGCACCAATGGGCAATACCCTGAGGTGGTAACTTGTAGTGTTATCTGAACCTGGGAAATCTGCCTATGCTTTACAGTGCTCATAGTACCCATGGAAGATTATGTGAGGGTTGTTTAAGCTGTGCACAGCCCATGGTCCCTCAGGTCTGATGATCTGATAAGCCACGGTTGTGGCTTGAATATTCAAAATGAGTGCTTTCCTCTGCCACAACCCACTATATGGCTTAAGTAGTCCATGATGAGCTGTTTCATTGTACAAATTGTGCCAACATCTCCACATGCCCAGCTTCTCTATAGATCATTGTGCATGATGACTAGTAAGACTGTTCAGGCAAACACAGTTACAACCTCATCCCCCACTGAGCACACGGAGGTCATTAGAGGTCTCCACACACCCTGGGACACTGGGGGTAAGCCTTGCATGTGTACCTCCACCCCATCACTTAGCCCTCAATAAATGCATCCTGAATACCTGCATGGGACTTATGAGAAGTGTGCACACACACTGCATGATCTGTCTCTAACCATGTTCCCACAGTCTCACACATCAACATGTCCCAGATTTGTGGCTCTCACTTCAAAGCTGTCCTTGAGAGTTTACCATGTTGCTACATGCTGTCAAGTCACCTCTGACTTATGGTGGCCCCATGGATAAGTGCTCTCCAAAATGTCCTATCCTGGACAGCTCTGGTCAGCTCTCATCAATTCAAGGCTGTGGCTTCCTTTATGGATTCCATCCATCTCATACTTGGCCTTCTTCTTCTTCTGTCTTCAACTTTTGCTAGCATTATTGTCATTAGGCATGGTAGTCATGGCATGCCTGAAGTATGACACCTTCCATTTCATTAAATTATATATTCATGACTAGTTTCCTTTTATATTATACTAGCTTTTCTCTTGTGGCATTGTTTGATTTTTTTTTTTTTTTTTTTTTTTTTTTTTGTTTTGGGTTGGGAAAAGGGAAAAAAAATAAGGGGTTGTCATTAAGAAAATCTTTTATTTATTTAATGTGTACCCTGTCTTTCTACCTAGAAAAAATGGAACAAAAGGAAACTTACCAATTTTTCCTTGTGCTATAAGAAGCACATGCAATAAATGGGTTTAGATTATGGCATCTTAGAGTTACATAATATGAAAATATGTCCTAATTTTACTCACAAAAAACAAAGCCAAATGCAAAAAACAAAAACAAACAAACAAAAAACCCAGAGCATCCTGGAGAGGCTTTGCACGCATGCAAATAAATCTTGCTTGTGCAATGGAATCAGAGGGAATGCTAGCTTGTGAAAGGGAATAAGCAAGGTGGAAAAGAATTGGCAGGGGTATTAGCATCCTGTTGGATTCTGCCTAGTATGGTTCATTATGTTCTTCTGCCTCTTTAAAAGCATGATGGAAAGATACCAGGAATCACTTTTATCATATGTTGACTCATGGGCAGAGTGTACAACCCCATATATGGTGATGATGATGTAGGGGTATACCTGCACCTCACCTTGCATAGTGATTGGTGGATTCAGAGGTTCCTAGATTGACGATCTTAATCATATTTCTATTTTTAGCAAATTTTCTCTCAGGAGCATTGGAACTATAATTTTATTTTTCTGTATATGCACACACACATGCATACCATGATTACTGATTTCCACCAATTTTCTATATTTTCACTGAATTTCTGCTTAGTATAGCAATCCTGAGATATCATCATTCTTTTCAGGACCCTTCCTGAGAAGCAAAAGGGCAACACCCGTGACAGAGCAACAGTTAGTATAAATCTGTGGGTGAAGGGAGGGTTTTTCCAGGAGTGCTCACATCAGCATTCTTCAAGGCGGTGAAGATCATACTGTCCCACAGTGATGTGTTCATCTGTCCCCTGATCCAAGTGGACAGTACACGGTGTAGCTAGAAGGAGCCATGATGGGCAAGGACCAAATAGCCTGTGCAGGGTTGCCCAGATGCGAGTGTCTTATCCACCTCCTCGGGCTTCCAAAGTTGAAACTGATTCCACAATAAAAGAAGATGTAAATAAAACTAGGCACCTGATCAGACACTGTATCAATAGCAGTGTTCAAGTCAGCATGAGCATAAGTAATTTTATTCTTGAAATATCTGGCAATCCATCAAAGCGGACCTCTGGGAGCCCCAGCTCTGAAATAGATGAATGCAACCCTGAAAGAGGTCAAGTGGGTGTTTAGATAGCAAAGTAAGCCTTCTGTATTGCCACACTGTATGCACAATGATACATTCCAGTGCTTATTCAGTCACCCTCATGATGACTACTATGCCAATTCTGCTGCAGCTGTCTTTTGGCCCATTTGCAAACAGCACAATCATGCCAGAGGATTTGGAACCTAGGCCACCAAGAACTTTGGGGTTAAGTAGCCATTCTGCCACTCTGATAAGATCCTTTCCCTGTCATACTAGATCATACCCATGAGCAGTATTATAGGGCCACACTTCTCTATTTCAATTTTGTTCCTACCCAGATTAACAAACACTAACCTTCAAGTCCAAGGAGGGAGCTGTACCTTGTGGACGTCTAACTAAAAAAGCTGGACAATATAAACTAATCATGACCAACAATGACAAATTAGGGCATCTTTAATAAGCAATTATCTTTGGTTTGCTATAGGTTCCCCAGGGCTTACACTGCCTAAGTGCAAGATCATATTGAGAAAAAGAAATCAAAACTTTAATCCCATTTTTACACTTAATTGTTTTTGTTGTTGTTGCCTTTTCTTTTCAGTTTTGGAATGACAACATCTTCTCCAGTTAGTGATGCAACCACGTTGAGAGGTTTGTTCTACTTCATATATTTAATTCTTAATAAATATATGTGAAGACTGATGCTTTAAACTAATAATGAGCTATGTGATGTCCAGTCTCTTTCTATCCCTTTGTGTGGCATCACCTGGGCTTGGGGACTACTTTGTATATGAAACTTTGCACAAAGAAGCTCTAGGCATATGAAAAATAGGGATGGGGATTGAAATTTCTGGGCAGGAGCTTTGTAGTAGGAGAAGTCAATTTTTTTGTGTGTTGCAGCTTACATGTGTCTACCAGTTCAGAGTCTGATTGCCAGAAAGCAAATAACAGATATGCAAAATGTAGTTTCACTGAATTGCAGTGTCCACCATTTAAACATCTTATGAACCTTCTAACCAATTTGGGTTTGACTTGATATTCTTTTGGGCCATTCTACTTATATTACTCCCAAATATTGATTAGTTGATGTGAAATAGAGGCAACAACACTATTCTACACTCAAGCAACTAGTTAATTAAAGGACGGTGACACTTGTTTTCTTCCTTAGATGCAGCTGCCAATGTTCCACCTCCTGATGTGGTTTCAATTGAGAGTCCTTCAGGCAGAACCACTGACAAAAGTGACAATCCTGAAGTATGTGTAACAAGCTGTTCTAGACTGGCATTTAGGAAAATCCTGCTCTTTCTATATTTATTTGGGGTTCAACAGTACTTCACAAATTCAAAAAGCCCAGAAAGCAGCTGAAAGTGATCCAGCACAGCTCTGGATCCAGTACAACCTTGGCACATTTCTTATTGAAGAATCATAATACAATAAGTGTAAAACCTTATGCATGTTTAGACAGAAAAAAGTCTTACAACTTCCTGTTGTCAGGGGAATAAGCTATATGTTACTTGTGAGTACCAGATGACTACCCCCATTTCTGAGACAATATGACTTCCTCTGGCCCTGGGCAACTACAAAGAAATCACAGATATCTACATGAGTAAAGCCTACATGGGTGGGCTTCATGGGAAATTGGAATCCTCCAATTTAGGTCCCATGGAAGCATCCATGTATAGAGGTCTACACAGAGTGATTGGGTTCACACCATACAAAAACCCATCACGGGTGACATGCTACAGTAGGTTGCCATGTTGTATAACCTGAACTGATTCCTAGAAGGTGATTTCTTTGCGGCAATAAGTCATCCTCAGAATGGATGAGGATGGGTGGTTGTACCTATGAACAGTGGTCATGTTCTCCTAACCTGGATGTCTGCCTCCATTTTAGGTTCTAGGAACCAGCAAGCAAACTGCTTGGCAGAGATGGCAAGATCCCGTGCCAAGATTGCCAGAGCTACTATCAATACTAACTGCCCATAAGTGCCCAAGAGCACTTTGAGATGACTAGCACTGGCTGGGTGTCTCCTGCCAATTTTGGTTCACCGTGGCTTTCTTTCCACCTCCATTTTGCTCCTCTGGAGATCACGAAAGCTTGCCGCACAGCTGGCTTTATTGATCCCCATTTGCCAACCACTGACAGCCCATTCCAAGTGCCCAAATAACATACATACATTGCAGCATACATTAGGGGGCTGCAATTTTATTTTAATGATTTGCAACCATGGACAGCCCTTCCAAGGTAACTCTTGGACATTTTGAAGGGGCTGGAAGTGCCTGCCAAAATGGGATTATGAAGGCTTGCTGTCAAGCCAGTTTTTGCAATGTCTGGAGAAGGGGAAAGGGGAAAAGCCGTAACAACACAAAAGCAGCATGCAGTCATGGTGAAGATGGGGTGACATTGGTCTTGCTGAAGAACCAAGGGGAAAGGATGAGGGAGGGGGCAAACAATAAATGGTGAGTTCAATTGTCTGTTCAGCACATCATGGGCTGTTGCTAAAATGGGTTGTTGTTGAGTGAACTCTTTCCAGAGCTGATATCATTCCCTATTGTGTAAATATTGTGGTTGGGCCTGGGAAAAGCCGAGCAACCTCCTGGCAGAGGTCAGCAATGCAGATCTGTTGCCTGATAATTGAAAATACCTTCATATAGGCGAGTGGGAATTAATTCTAACTAATCTGTTCAAAAGATGTACAGGTTATACCTCGAGTTACTAAATGAGATTGCTTCTTTTCCCTCAGATCAACAATGAGATCAAGAGAGATGATGAGAAGCTCACAAAACCAGCTCGTGAACAAATGGTTGAGTTCAGTATTCTTCTTCCTGAAGAGAAATACACCAACAAGCTGAGTGATCCCTTTACTGAAGAGTACCAGCAACTGTCTCTACAGTTTGTTTCTGAAGTAATTGTCTTACCTATTCACTTTTGTTATGTGTCTTATGCTGATGAAAGAGTGAAGGATTTTTAAGCAATATCTTAAGAAATTTCAGCTTTTATTCTATACAGGGAGAAGAACATATGGCTTCCATTGAAAACAGCCCCTTTCTGTGTCTTTGGGGATCTTATGTAAAGAATATAGATGATATGGCATCATTAAGATCAGAATCACATGCCACAAGCCACAACCAGTGAAGTGGGACAACCCTAAGCATGATGACATGTCACATGTCTCCTTGGGAAATATAAGATGTGGGTTTGTGGCAGCTATGTTTTCATCATAAGACATAGTTTGTGCCTTAAGTATACTTCTAGATGGAGAGCTTTTCAAATGCCAGGAGCATCAATTTTTAGTATATTTGATAGATATGAGCCAGAAAGGCACTGTGTTGATCCCCATGCTGTTCTCTGCAGGCTAGTAACTGCTACATTTGGCACATTCCAAGAGAGTGACCATTCTGCAAAAGTCCAGTCTCCCTCAGTTCCTCCTTTGCTGTAGCATCCTTCCACCCAACTATTGTGTATTGGTATTTTGTATCCAGCAAAAAGTCAGCTACCCAGGATGTAAGCAAATTTAATCCTGTGGGACTGCTGGTGATATAAATATGGCTGTGGTGTTAATTATTATTAGATAGCGCAGTGTGTGAATTTGGATGGAAGGGAAGCTGCTATATCTGCATGCTTGAAAGCAATTCACTCTAATTAAAAAAAAGTCAAGAAAAGTACACTGTTTTGACTTTGAATCTATACAGTAAAAACAGTATCTGCATGATTTACTTCTCTTTCTTGAAGTATGTTCCTTACTTGATATGATAGTGGTCACACATCTGTGCCCTAGTTCTTTGTCTTGCCACTTCACCTCTTTAAATACACACACACACACACACACACACACACCCCACCCTGAGTTCTGTCATACCTCCTCACAGGTTTCTTGTGATGGGTCTTATGTGAGCTATGAACTTTGTTCCTCTCTTCATCCTTGCTGCTGAAAAGAAAATAAGCCTTATGGGATCTGGAAATTGTCTTAGCTTCCCATGTCCCTTCATAGCATATAAGCACATAGATGAAAGTGTGTTCATACTGACCTTGCTTTATTGCTGTAACTATACACTTTATCATCTCCTCACAATGTTTCATGCAACCTTACATCTCTTTATATTATAAACTGGTTGAGGAAATAAAATGGTTTTTGATCCCCCCCTTTTAAAAAAGCTAGTATAGTGGTCCAGCTTAGGCCTGGGTGATAAATTCAGTTATAACATCCCCAGTATCAAATATGTTGCCTCATTACAAATGCAAAATTAGCTTTAGCCTGCCCAGCCTACAGGCAACAGAAAGCGATGCTTTCTAGCCACCACTGCCTAGGGGTGCTCTGTACCTTACTTACCCAACTTACTAGGCTAGCTGCTTTTGTGAGATCTATGAAATACTAATTAAAAGCTCATTCCAGCTCACCTTGCCTTGGCAAGCCCATTGAATTTTGTATACTGGTTTAGTCTCATCTGGGGAATAGATACCCTCTTCTATCCTACGCCCAAAGACAATCCACTGCAACTCTTATGCATGGCCAAATTAGGCCAGACGTCTTAGTTTTCCTAGATATGCGGCCAAGTAACAGTGCCATGCCAGAAATGAAAGAAATGTCTGATCGGACAAAGGCCACTTGGCATCCTGATATTCCTTTCATCTTTTGCCTAGTTCTCTCTGTGCTTGGACAACGACACCCTTCCTACTTAGCAGCATTTGGATGCTTTGGATTCTGGGCAGAGGTATTTTTTACTGAAAAAGAATAAATATTGAGATGAATTGTCACATTGCTTTCATGCATATGAAACAGACATCCTGAGATGCATGATACATTTCTACAATTCCTTCATTTTTGCTATTATAAATATTTAGGAACTATAATGTCACCTAGGCAAGTTTGCTTATAGAATTCATGAGCTTGATTCACTTGTACATAAATATTCATCCATTTTAAAATGTGATGAAAATAATTTTCCCCTTTTCTTCTGAACAGTACATGTGGATTAAACCATCGTAGAATGTTCAGAATATTGAAGGTCTTAATAAACCATCTTCCTTTTCTTAATGCAGGGCTTGCACTAAGCCTAATGAAGCACTAGTAGCTTGATAACCCGTTACACATATATTTTATTTATTTATTAGCTTATTTGATTTGTACCCTGCCTTTCCACCAAGACAATGGATAAGGAAATAGCATTGTAGCAGAGGCTATAGCAATTTGCCTCTTAAAAAAAGAAAGTGCTTAAAAAAGAAAGAAAGAGAAGAGATGTGTGTCTTAGCCTGACAAGGAGAACACATCACAAAAGCATAGTGGAAAATGGGATATTGCAGTAAGTGGAAAAGGTGGCCCTGTTGGTGATGTTTTGCAAATGAAGAATTCCTGTGCTGGGTATTGGATGGGTCAGCCTCCAAAGTGGTAAGATGATGCTGATGAGAAGGATGAGGATGCTCACGAAGTGTGTATTTGGAGAAAGAGTTGTGTTGCTATTAATTAGTGCTATCAATGATGCTGGCTGGGAATGATGGGGATTATATGGGTGCCAGGTTTAGGAAGGCTGCACCACAGAGTTGTCATATCCCATTTCCCAGGCAGTTTGTAGGATGCATCTTTGAGAGCTTCTTTGAAATAGCATGTAGCCTTTGAGCTGAGTTTCCCCACCCCTGACCTAGAGGGAATGACTCTGGAACCTGAACACAAATGATTAACAACTGAATATTTATTAGCTAAAACAAAAAAGAAAGCATCTGGAAATAGAAAGTTCAATCATCATTGCCTCTCTCTTTCAAACAGATTCAAAATGCATATGAAGGATTGCCTGGATACCAGAGTATTTATGTAACTGAATTCAGGTATGAAGTTTAATAAGCATATGAAATGAAATCTCTTCTTGTATTTGAGCTGCTAGTACAAAACACCCCCAAGACTTGCTAATGGTTTGAGGACCACACAGTTTGTTATAGAAGTTATACACTGTACATGCCAAGAAATGGAATATTTTAATTTGTTTCTTTCTTGGTTTCATTCCCCTTCATTTGATGGGGAAGACCTCCTCCTCCTCCTTGTCCCTGCTACTACATAACATTTATGTCTCAGTTTCTTCCTCTTGCCAGGAGCCCAGAAAGACTTACAACTTTCTCTTCCTCTCTATTTCATCCTCACATCAAAAACTCTGTGAGGTAGGTTAGGCTGAGAGCCCATGCCTGGCCCAAAGTCATTCATTGACCTTCATGCTTGAGAGCGGTCAAGAACCTGGATCTCCTGATTCCCAGTCCAGCACTATAACCATTACATCACACTGGCTCACAACACCTATATAGGTGTTATAACATTATTTAAAGTTATTAAATAAGTTATTTATAAATAGCAGTGGAGAAATGGACTGCATCTTACAGATGCCCCGGCATGTTTGTGTTGTATTCCTTCATTGTTCTGAGGGCTTTCACATGCACTGTGTGTGTTTTCTGAAACAGAACAGTGGTTCATTTTCTTTCAAAACACACCATTTTTGGAGGAGGAAGATTTTATCCCTCTTCAGACTGGTACAATTTTCAGAACAGTAATGTTGGTTTGTAAGCCAGATTTTCAGATGATTACATAGGCCACAAACAATCAAACACAGTTAAATATGTGTAAGCCTATTGAAATCATTATATTATGATCATACCATAAAACTCAGGTGAGTTAATCCTGTGTCTCAGATTAATGCTCTTGTAGAAATCTTATAAAGTTATTGCTTTATTTCTCCATCCATTTTGCACGGCATTAATCACAGTAGACAACATGATTTATCTACAGCATTCTTACTGCTAATGATTATTTATTGCATTTGTACGCTGACAGTCAAGGTGCCCAAGTGGGGTTTTCCTCACAATTACTTTGATTGCTGAAGGTCACACCATAAAGCTGCATGGGTGAACTGGGATTTGAAGCCTGGTCTCCAACCAGAAAGGCCATCAGTGTGACTTCTTAGATGAAAGCTTTTGTTTGAGTTTAAAAAAACCTGCAGTGAATTTTATAAAAATTCAAGTTTGATTCAGTATGAAAGTAGAATGATAATAATTACTGTGAATAATTGCTTATAAATATTTTGATTTGTTTTCTTGGGGCAGAGAATTTGTAATACTTATATTTCTCATACTGTTTTAATTTCTCTCCTTCCCAACAATTAGAGCTCCTCAGGATAACAGGTAAAGGAAACTTCTATGTACTTATTTTTGTCCTACTGACAAGTTATTGATGTGTTACCTTGTAATTAATAATGTGAAAGGCTGCAAGACCAGGGAGTCAACATGCTTAAAAGCTGTAGGCACCCATATTCTCCAGAATGTTTTAGTCAAAAGTTACCCATGGGATTAGGAAGTTAGGCTCAGTTTTTGCTCCAAAGCACCTCCAGTGCAGCCAAGGGCTTTCAAGGAACTCTTTCACACTACAGAGTTCACAAAGACCCTCTGTGGCATTAGAAAGCCTTTTATAGGAAACTGAAATAGCTGATTGATCATGACTGACACCAAAGGGAGCTTTTTCTTAGGGCCAGCTGAAGTACAGGAATGGAGATTTTCACCAGGACCACAGTTGTGGGGAGAAGCAAAGATTCCCTTCCCATGTGTTGCACTCCTGATGAACACCATCCCCTACTGTGTCTACTTAACAAAACAACAACACCTTTCCCTGATGGAGTTTTTTCCTACAGAATAAAGATACCATCTACTTTGATCTCGAACTGCAAAAATTCAGTTCCTAAGAATTTAACCATTATCAAAAGTGGAGAGAAGAATCATAAAGAAATATGACTGGCAAAAATGGGCCATAGCAAGGAAAGAAGTCTTTGAAAAAAACAGTTATTCTGTACATACTTCTCTCTAATATATCCTTTCTTAAACATGTAGTGGAGTGGAAGTTCTGTACACTGTTGTTTTTGATGGGGAAGCCATCAGCAATGCTACCTGGGACCTGATTAACCTTCAGTCCAACAAAGTGGAGGACAACACTTTTCTAGAGATTGAAGATAATCCAACTGTGGTTTACACAGTCAGCGACTTCAGGAATTATATTGCTGAAATACTTCATAAGAACACTTTACTTGAGAATGCCTCCTTGAACCTGGATCCTGACTCTCTCCTGCTCATAAATGGTGTGTATTAAATAAGAAATCCTACTTCATTTCAATAAACTAGTCTTAATTCTGCTAATGTGTTGTGAAGCAACCACCTATCCACAATATTTTAAAGGTTGTGATAGATTACAAGCTTCCTTTTAAGCCCAAATTCTGGTTTCTCCAAGCTGGTGCCCTCCAGATGTTGTAGACCAGCCTCCATCAGCGTCTAGCAATCATGGAAGGCCAGGAATACTAGGATTTCTGTAATGCAGTGTGTGTGTGATGTAGTTTAAGATGTCCTGTAGGGAGATACTATGCATGCATGTCCTAGGGAGTATTCGGAACCTTTGTTTAGAAAAGAACTGAGTTCTGTGCCATCAGATTCACACTCTTTACAAAAAAGTTAAACTGGGCAACCTAAATCTGTGGCTGTTTTGTGTGATCATGGTTATAGGGCCTGCATCCAAGCATTGGCTGATTCCTTGGGCTTTACATATTCCTCACCAGGCTCAGTTTGGATGACAAAGTAATATGCAAAGGCAAATCTTTGCTTTATCTCTGAACAGCGATTGGGGATGCAGCAGTACACAAAAACAGTGGCTCAGCCAGTGGATGGAAGAGTTACTAAGCCAGTTTGCTTGCTGTTTATCATCCCATTCCCAATTCCAGCCCCCTGGAAGCTAGTAGAGAGAGAATTCCCTAGTGTTATTTCTGATGAGTGAGAGGAGAAATAACTGCTCTACTAACTGCTGGGGGCAGGGCTTGGGGGAGGCAGGATCTTCCATGGGAGAAGGGCAGAGAACTTCCATGGGAAGTTCAGGAAGTATAAAGTGTACATAGTGAACTTTCTGGAGGAAGATAAGTTGTGCACCGTTGTTTTAGATTTGCCTCTCTCTAAATGCTTACTGGCATTATTGTAATTTAATGGGCTAAGAAATTGGTGTAGGTGGGATGGCATCATGTTAGAACTCAGCTTCATAAGTGTTAGGTTTGTTTGTTTGTTTGTTTCTTGCCTTCACAGTAAAGGAAGTCATTGCTTTAGTAACAGAAGACCCATCTCGAATTACTGCTAAACCCATTGATGATGTAAGTTCATTTTTCTGTATTGTCTTCTTCTAGCGGCTTTCAACCATTTACCAAATTGCATGAATTGTTAAAATATAATAAGATAAAACACAAATGTGTTCAAATGTTCTTTTTAAAATGAAACATTCTCGTATAGTTTTTCAACAATGAGTACTTGATGCAGGGCTTGGCCATGTATGGTTGCTTTTATATTATGTAGCTTTGGATATTTCCTTGAGACAGGGTCAATATTAAATTATTGAACATGCTGTCTTGTTGGCAGAAAGTGGTGGAAAATATTTTGTTTTGCACAATGGTTTTTCTATCCTATTGTGTGTGCTTTTTTAATTGCATGTGCAAAAAAAGTCAGAATTGCCAAAATAATATTACATTTCTGAATGGCATTTTGAGAAGCTTTGAATAATATTAGATGCTATAGGAGCATGCCTATGCATTTAAATAAATGATGAAGTGTAATTCTTGGCAGCCATATACCAATGTTCCAAACATTCCAATTGAAAATTAATTGCTCCAAGTCTTCGTCTTTATTTGAGTTTCTGCTCGTTTTCTCTGTGCTGTACTGCATTATGTTTTCCCAGTTTTTCTGACATTTTTGAGATTCCTTTGAGATTCCTTGAGGTGACAGTCAGTGAAGATGGGAGGAGTGTGGAAATTAGGCATTAAGTGTTCAATTTTATGCTCATTTAGACAGAAAAAGCTGGAAGTTGTAGGCCTTTTTTCCATGTACACTTGCGCAGGATACATGCAAATATGTTAAATGAAAAGCAGCTAGGAGAGGGGGATAGTTTGAGTAGAGAAGTGGAGGGGGGCATACTTAAATACTTTTCATGGTGGGCATTCAGCTCTCTAAATTTCCTACTGGTAGTTTTTTCCCCCAAGAGCTCCAAATGGATGCTTGTGAGTATAAACATAAATCCATGAAGAAAAGCTGTTTGAGGGAGGATTTGGACTGCAGAACCATTGACTAGGCAACTCCCCGCTGCTTCTTTATTCACAGAATGCTTCCCAGTGGTGTTTTCATATTGCCATTACCCTGCCTCATTTATGTGCTGGTTGTTTCCAAATCCCACAGTTATCTACTTGTAATCCTTCTGTATCTTCCCTCTGTTTCTTCCATCTTTAATACATTAAAGGAAAAAAGATAGAATAATAGCACAATGCCTTGGTGGCATTGGGGTCCATCTGGAAGTACACATCCCATTCCTTTATGAAAAGAAACAAGATGACAGACTGTGCAAACAGGAAATGGGGAAGGGAAGCAGAAGTCAGGAAAAGTTAGTGATTAGACAATGGGGAAGCAATGGAAAGTGAAGCTGCTGCTTTCTTCCACCCAAATTTATTGACTCAGTACCCTATGAGTACCTACTCTATTTTTCAGAACATTGGCTGGTAACTCTCAGTATTTCTCAGAAATTTAGAAAATGGAGCAAAGTGGAGATTCCAGTAGCCACCTCAGAATCTGGCAATGTCATGATCTCAGCTTGTAACCAATATGAACCTGTTTTTAGGATCGTATGGTGGTATCTGAATGGCCCTCAGCAGATGAGTCAACTGTAAGCAACATCTTGCCACTTGATTTTACCAGACCAGATTTCATCTTCGATATGGAACAGTACAATGGCAATGAAATCTGGTTAAGACCAGATGGCTTTCTGAATCCTGAGAGCAACTTCAGTTCAACACCAAAAGCTACTTTCTATTCAAAAACTGGTATTACCCCAGATGATCTGCTTTTTGTGGATGAAAAACAGAAATTGCATTCTGCCACACCATCAGCAATAGAGACGGACCTAGAAAGCATTTCAAATTTTTCATTAGAAGATTGTAAGTTCTTTTGCCTTGTTTCTGAAAAGCAGAATTATGTATCCTAGAAAGCTTTTTTAGGCATTCTTCTAGACTGATTAAGAGGTATATCATGTTACAGGGCAAGAAGAGGCAGGGTAAGTAGAATTCCCAATTCTGAGCAGTATCTGCCTGCACCCAAGATAATGGATATTTTAGAAAGAGTGCAAAAGTATATCTGAGAAGTGTTTTAATGTTTATTTGTCTTCTTGATCATGATGCTGCCAGTTTTGATACTAGAGGTATTTTATAATGGAGATCACATCTCTTTATCTTTTTTTTTTTGGCAGGGGGTAGGGGGCAAAACTGCCTAACGGAATCGTGACCCTGTTGATTCTTATGTACTTTTCATTGTTGTTTGATAATATGGTGTACTTCTGGGCTGCCTCAATGGAATAGACACTGGGGGTACTACATTGTACTGGCTCTGTTCATTTATGGGAAACTGAAATCCAGAAGGAAGTACTGGGGTTCGACTTCTCTTTCTTTGGTTAATACCTCATGGGGTTTACAGAGTTTCATGTTTCTTGCATGCTCTTCTACATCTGCATGAAACCACTGATTGAAGTCATACAGAGATTTGGGTTGCAAAGTCATCAGTATGTCGTGATGCCCACAAATTTACATCTCATAATAGGCTGGCAGTAGAAAGCCTGAATGGATGGCCTTGGGTGTGCAGCTTGTTTTGGATGGGGTTGCACCCCTCCCCTCCAAGTATCAGATATATAACTTGTGGACACTCCTGAGTGAAGTGCTCCTGTTAGTTGCACAGGTGACATCATTTGGGTGGGGGCATCTTATTACAGCCTTGCTTGGTTTGTCATCTATGAATGTTCCTGAGGAAGACAGAACTTGCCATGAGTGCTCATGCCCTAATTCTAGTCTGGTGTATTATACAGGAATGTATGTAGAAATGCCCTTGAAAAGTGTTTGGGAACTGCAACTGATGCAAAGTCAGGTGTTTAGAATATCATATGCACCTTTTATGTGACCTTCATTAGATTCCAGTTTGTTTGTAGGCTAAATTCAAGGTTCCGATTTTAAACTTTAAATCCCCAAACAGCTTGGGGCCAAGGTACCTTAACAGGCCAGCTTCTTGCAAATGCTTCTCCAACATGGTCTGTTCAACATTTGGGGGATTATATGAGATGCCTTGACATTGTGAAGCACAATAGGCAGCAGTCATAAGGACCTTCCCTGTAGCAGCCCCAGCTGTTCAAATGCCCTAACAAGTGAGAGCCATCAAACCCCCTTGATTTAGGAGGATGCTTAAATGGGACTGCTTCACTTTGAGTGTTTCTTTGGTAGAAATAGTAAATGAAATCCCTTTATGACTACTGTTTTTAGGAACTGTATTGCTTCTCTATTTATGGGTTTATATACTGTGTGATGTTTTATCTGTGAGTCACCTTGAATTTGTTTTAAAAAGCAATAATAATAGTAATTGCTTGTTTTACAAACAATAGTAATAATTATTTTTATTTACTGCATTGCATTTCATCATGCTTTTTTTGGTTAATTTTTGCCACTTTGAGCTGATGAAGAATAAGGAGGGTACAAATTATAGTTAAATCATAGATAAAGCCAAGGTATTAGAAGCATTTCTGAATAGCACTGTTGGTTGTAGCTACACAGGAGTCTTTTGTCTCGGCATGCCTCTGTGTTGACAGAGGGTTTTGCACTACTGAAATCTTGTTTTGATATTGGTTGATGGAAGGAACTGTCCCCTGCTGTAGGAATCAAACATATACTAATAACCCTGGTGTGGAGGGTTAGGAAAATAAAATCTAGCAATCTGCACTTATAAGAACTGTGTCACTTTGCATTTGTTTACTTTTAGTGCTTGAGGACTCAAAGGAGTTGGAAGGGTTGCTTTTACCTTCAAGTCCTCCCTCTCACACGGTGCCAAAAGAAATCCTACCTACAAGTGATTCTGTGATCCCCCTCACTCCTATACCACCAAAGGCCTCTGCATCAGCCATACAGCCTAGCATGGAAGAAGTGTTAGCTACAAGTTTTGTAGAAGAGGAAACTCTGCAACCTTATATATACATAGAAGACAATCTAGATGCCTATGGTTCTGGTTCAGGACAGGAGCTACAAACAAACTTATGGCCCTGGTATAGACCTACCTTTGAGACAGAGGGCTCAGGTATGTATGATGATAAAGGAACAAATTTTATATTGACTTCCTCAAAGGACTATACATCTAAGGAGCTGCTAGATGAAGTCATCTCCCAGTCATCTCTGGAAATAGAACAACCTACAATAGAAAGTGTTATTGCTGCATCCCCTGAGCTACACAGTAAATCTCAGGATATAATACAATTAAAGGAGACCAGTGAGGATGATCAAATTCTTCCTGAATTAACTGGAACACAAAACCCAATAATAACAGAGCCAACATCCACAGACTATTCACATATAGTCATTACAATAAGACAGACAGATGATGTTTCTCCAAGAACTGGATTAGAGAAACCAGGAGTAATTTTAACAGCTGATCCTGCAATAGAGAGGCCAGTGACTGATAATTTTATGGTAGACCAGCAGATTCCGGATTCAATGGCTGAAGAGGTCTTGGGATCGATTGCTCTGAAACCTGTTGCTGTTCCTCCTACTGAAAGTGCCACATACCAACCAGCAGATGAAGTTAGAAGTTCAGTTGCATCAACTAGTTTTCATGTTTCAACTGTGGTTCCTTTTTTAATAGAAGATACAACTGCTTCCAGTGACTTTGCTGTGGAGTTCAGTACAACCCACATCACTAATACACCTTCCAGCGGCTTGGACAGTACAGTAAGCTCTCCTGCAATGGTGGCTACGGCAGAGTTCTCTATCCCCATCCTCACTGACATGCCTACCACACAGCCAACATTATATCAATCTACAGTTGTCCCAACTGAACTGGAGAAAGATTTGATTGCAAAAGAACTGGAAGTTATAAAACGGGACCCTATAGGAACAACCTACGTTCCCCCTGAAATGAACCAGGAAGGAAGAAGTATGACTGAGGGTCATATGAGGTTGTCTACAAGTGTTCATTCTACAGAAATGGCCAGTGTAGCTGGTTCTACTCATGAAAATCTCAGTAATGTTACAGTCCCTGCACGGGCTTTAGTGGTATTCTTTAGTCTTCGAGTTACCAACATGATGTTTTCAGAGGACTTATTTAATAAAAATTCTCCTGAATATAAAGCCCTGGAACAGAGATTTTTAGAACTGGTAAGACATACTGTATAATCTAGTTTTTGCCAGCTTTCTATTACTAGCAAGAATACTTTTCAACCAGGAGTGAACAACACAGATGCAAAGTATGATTCTAAATCTATAAGATGCTTTTTCAACCTGCCTAATCGTTTATTGGACACATCGGGGCCCCATGCAAAATAGCTGTATAAGATGCTTAAAGTGCCATGCAAACTCATGCAGATGCTTAGATTCAATCATTTAGTTTTATCAGGGAAAAAGAAACATTTCAGGAAACAGGCTTACTCCTCTGTAAAACCAGATGAAATACTATGTTTTTGTGCTAAGTTTATGCAACAAATCAAACATTAAATGAAATTGTTTTGAACATTTGTTACAGTTCATAATGATAAACTAGCAGATGTTATCCATTCAGATTAATGGGTCAGCACACTGAATGGACAGTGGTGTCTGCACTCAACTTGCATTGCCACTTAAGCAGAACTAGTTGATGATTTACTGATTTTGCATGGCAACTGTAAAAGCTAATACATAGGAAAACTGAGCATCTTAATTCATCCTTTATGTTTAAAAGAGCAAGTTATATGTGTGATGCAATTGAATACACCTAGGATAGTCTCAGGTTTGGGTAGTATAAAAATGAAATAAATAAATAAAATAAATTTACTCAGAAAATACCCCCTTCTATGGTAAATAGCTGAATGTGCACAAGATCACAGTTAGAGAGAGAGAGAGAGAGAATAACTACATTTGTTCTGTTTCTTTTTCCTTCTCTCTCTCTCTCTCTCTCTCTCTCTCTCTCTTTCTTTCTTTCTTTATTCCTTCTTCTTTCTGTTTTTTTCCTGTACTGTAGCTGGTTCCTTATCTACAGTCCAATCTAACAGGCTTCCAGAATCTCGAAATTCTGAACTTCAGAAATGGTAGTATTGTGGTGAACAGCCGAATGAAGTTTGCAAGACCTGTGCCTCGCAATGTCACTAATGCTGTGTACATGATTCTGGAAGACTTTTGCAACACAGCCTACCAGACCATGAACCTGGCTATTGACAAGTACTCCCTTGATGTGGAATCAGGTATTACAAAGGAAGAGTTTTGTTGCTGTGTCAGTGTGCTGAAAGATTCAAGCCCAATTTTCTCTGTCTTGCCTATGCTAGAAAATAAGAAAACCCATGTGAATTCAGACCCAAGGTCTACCTAGTCCAGCACTCTGCACATGTGGTGGCAAACTAGCTGCTCACAGGATCCCTCAAGCAGGAATGGTGCAAGACCTCCTCCTGCCAAAGTCCTCAGCAACTGGTGTATGCAGGCAGGGCACTTCTGGTTAAGGAGGTAGCACTTAGCCAGCCAGGCTAGTAGCCACCAATAGCCTCTCCCTCATGAATTGTCCAATCCCTTTTTAAAGCCGTCCACATTGGCATACATCACCTCTTCCTGTGGCAGGGAATTCCATAGTTTCACTATACAATGTGTGAAGAAGTACTTCCACTTATCTGTCCTAAACCTCCCCCTGTCATCTTTGGGATGACCCCAAAATGTCTCCCTCCCTACATTCTCCATACCATGCATTATTTTAAACACCTCTATCATATTTATTTATTTATTTAAAATATTTATATGCTGTCCTAGTCACAAAAAAGCCTCTGGACAGCTTACAATATAAAATATAACATAAATAACATAAATAAATTCCCGACCCACACTGGCTGCAGCTAAAAACATAGAAAAGACAATATTAAAACTTAATAAAATATCACTGGAATAAAAAGGTCTTAACCTGGCGCCGAAAAACAAATAACGATGGCGCCAGGCGGACCTCTCTGGGGAGCACATTCCATAGATGGGGTACCACCGCAGAGAAAGCCCTCCTCCGGGTACTTTGCCTCCTAATATCTTTCATGGAGGGTTCCCAGAAGAGAGCTTCTGCTGCCGATCTCAAGGGGCAGGAGGACAAATACGGAAGAAGGCATTCCTTCAGGTATCCAGGTCCCAAGTTGTTAAGGGCTTTATAGGTAATAACCAGCATTGAGTCCAGACTTGAATTGAGCCCGGACTTCTATGGGAAGCCAGTGTAGCTGGTAGAGGACTGGGGTTATGTGAGAATAACGCCCAGTCCCCGTTAGCAACCTGGCTGCTCTGTTTTGCACCATCTGAAGTATCCGGACTGTCTTCAGGGGCAGCCCCACGTAGAGCGCGTTACAGAAATCCAACCGGGAAATAACCACTGTTGCTAGGCAGTCTTCCTCCAGGTAGGGATGCAGCTGATAGATTAGCCGAAGCTGAAGGAAAGCGCTCCTCGCCACCACAGTCACTTGAGCTTCCAAAGACAGCCCTGGGTCGAGAAGCACTCCCATATCTCAGCTTACTTAGCTCTTTTCTAAACTGTGCAGTCCCAGTTGTTGTAGCAATACCTCATAGGGGAGCTACTCCAGCCCCCAGATCATTTTTGTTGTCTGTGTTACTGAACCATTTCAGGTTGCAAATGGGTGCTCAGAAAACTGAATGATTTTCCACCCAAACATTCCCTCTGGTTATGAATTAGAGAAATGGCTTCTAACTTAGTCTTATCCCTGACATGCTAGTTTTCTATGCACAGGCCCCCTCATCAACATAATCCAGCCCCAGATCTGCTTACCTCAGTGAGAATTAGGTATAAGTATTATCTATGATGGTGATTATATTACTATTTATATCATGCTTCCTGCATGTCTTACATGGGCCATTTTACACTGAAAATCTTTAGTGCAGATTATGACCGTGCTGACTGGAATGCTGGTAGTTGTAGTCCAACATATCCAGAAAGCATCATGTTTGGGAAAGCTGGCAATAAATGCTTTGAATAGATCAGCTGCATTTTTATTGGATCTGATAATCATGTTTAGCATTTATTTTTTATTTGTATGCTAAACAATCTTTGTTGATGATTTTTTTTCAGCATGTAATATGACTAAAGGGAAGAAGATAATATGAATAACTCTGTGTAAGAGTCAGGTTGTGGCAGTACTATTCAGTTTGTATTGTCTTTTTGTTGGTCTTCCAAGGAGATCAAGCTGATCCATGCAAGTTTCAAGCATGCAATGAATTCTCAGAATGTTTGGTGAATCAGTGGAGTGGTGAAGCTGAGTGTGTCTGTTATCCTGGATATCTAAGCATTGAAGGATTGCCTTGTAACAGCATTTGTGATCTACAGCCTGACTTTTGTCAAAATGATGGCAAATGTGACATAATCCCAGGACAAGGGGCGATATGCAGGTACATGAAAATTTGTCCTACCGGCTTTGAAATCTGGAAAATCATGGGTATTGGCCTATCTGTGCTTTACTCCAGTTTTATATTTGTGCTTGTTTAAAGTGAAACAAAACAAAAACAAAAACACAGGAAATGCTTGAAGAATGACCTCAAGTATAGGGAATAGTGTAATCAAATAGATTTTCTCCCTCATTTCAAGTTGACAACAAATAACTTTTCTTTGTCCTGTTTATCCCTTCCTCTTGGCCTGGGTGGATGACAGATGCCGTGTTGGTGAAAATTGGTGGTACAGAGGAGAACACTGTGAAGAATATGTGTCTGAGCCACTTGTTGTGGGCATTGCAATTGCTTCAGTGGCCGGCTTCCTTCTTGTAGCATCTGCTGTTATTTTCTTCCTAGCAAGGACCCTCCGCGAACAGTACACAAAGAGTGAAATTGAGGACTCTTTAGGGCAAGTATCAGTAGGAGGTAATTTAATCTTATGTGCTTGATTGGTAACAAAATGAAGCAGAAACTAGTGGACAGGACTGCAGATTTGCCTTGTGACTTGGAGCCAATCCATACTTTCAATATGCTGATTTAAGTAGAGTGAATTTTCAGTAGGCCAGAATGTCTCTTTTTAACCTGGCCCTCACAATTTGCTTCTGGCATAGACTAAGTTGCAAGAAAAGCCTGGAAGTAACTTATTGATAAGCGGGAGCTAGAAGCAGTGGTAGCAAATATCAACCTTGCAGGCGGAAAGAAGCATAACCGCCTGAGAAGAAATGGTCACTTGCATCATCTGAGTGTTGGGACCTCCTAGCCCCTTTCAAAGCCAATCCAACGCCACAGAGGTAAAGGAGAGGCCCTGTCTGTGTTGGGCAGCTTTATGGATCTGCAGTAGTATATTATCTCCACAAATTTTGGAAAACCCTCTGTAGGCTCCAGCAATTTTAATGAGGATTTGCAGTGCTTGCCTATCAGAGGCATTGCTGCAGTTTGTAACACTCTCTCTGATCTGCCATAGCCTGCTGGTTTGTAAAGCTTGCCTTATAAACGCAGAATCTTAAATAGAGCACTTTCCAGCAAGTGGAAATCAAGCAAGATTATTCCCAATTTACTGCCTGGGACATCAGATAATATTGTCTGTTCTTCAAAGTGAGGAATACAGGATTTGACACTTTCATATGTTAATTTCTTTATAGGCAAGGGGATAGTCTTTCATCCATTGAAAATGCAGTGAAATACAACCCAATGTACGAGAGTGATGCTACTGGACACAGTCACTACTATCGAAGGTATCCTCTGCTGACTTCATATAGCTCAACAAGCAATGAGACGTCCACTGAGTACAGCAGTGAAGAGATCAGGCATATTTATGAACATAGTGAGCTAACTAAAGAGGTGAGTAATTTTATCTAATTTGGTTTTCACTCTACCCTATCGCAAAGGTTTTGGTGCTTACAAACAGAGAGCTTATAGCACGACCAATCAAAAGGCATAATGCAGCTCTTCCAGCTTTCGCTCCTTCATGATACTGTGGTAAGAAAAGAGCCAGAAGAACAGGTAGGAAAGCACAAGACTGCCACAAATAAAAGACACTGTTGTTGGGACCTCCTGAAAAGTTGGAACATGATGAGAGGATTGCACATTTTTTTAAAAGCCTTACCCGGAATCTTTAGAGCAAGTATAGAATTTCAGCGCTAAATGCTGAATGCAGTTTTGATAAATGCATAAATAATAGTACTAAAACAAATTATACATCTGTGCTATTTTGTATTGTGATAAGTACGGGGCATCTTTGAACTGTTGTGTTTTGTTTAGCATTATTGTGGAAATATTGTGTTTTTTCCTGTTTTGTAGGAGATTCAGGATAGAATACGGATTATAGAACTTTATGCCAAAGATCGGCAGTTTGCAGAGTTTGTAAGGCAGCATCAAATGTGAGTTAGATGTTTATTATTGCAATGTTCCTCATTTGGATTTATTCATTGTATTCCATGCAATAGTGATTCCATCAGAAGAAAACAGCGTATCTTGAGTTCATTTTATTTCTTTAAACAATACCTTGAAAAACATTCCATTTGAATTTTTTGTAGATCCCAGTGTTCCACATGAATTAACATATTACATATTCTAAGGGAGAGATTAAATGTAAGACCTTCATGGTTCTACAGTATAATATTGCACAAGACTGGTAATTATTAGCATCAAATCCACATACTTTATTTCCCAAATTAATAAAATGGAATTACTATTTACTATTACCTTACATTTCATAGTTGCCTTCGAGTGGAAAAGCAATAGTTTATGGTATTATGGTAATAAATTAACTAGGTCTTTGGCAATGAGAAAAGACTTGTACATGGAACATATCCCATGGTTTGTGAGCTACAGCCGTTCTGGGATATGGCCATGCTGGTCTACACACTGGTAACCTGATGACTGAATTAGCGCAATGTGCTCTGTGTGAAGCCCTTTGAGATTGGCCCAGCAACTGCAACCATTGTAGAACCCGACATCTAGGCTGCGGTGAGCACAGTATGTCTTTGTTTAGGGAACTGTATGAGCTGCCAGTATATAATTGGTTCAGGTTCAAAATGATGTTATGGAGATTTATGGCCCTAAAGAACTTGGAACCAAACTATATTAGGGAAAAACTTTTCCCTTACTAACCTAAGATTTTCAGGGTGCCCTCACCAACCCTTGCCAGCAGCAGGTACACCTGGTGGCAATCAGGGAGGAAGGCCTTTTCTGTTGTGGCACCGTCCTGCTGCATACAGGATACACATTTTTCCAGCATTTCTGTTACAGTATTTTTGTTTAAAAACAATCCTATCCAAATCTGGAAACCTTTTCAAAATGGTCTATGTCCTCTCTGTTTGGGATGGCCTTCAACAAGGAGAAGTTTAGATTTCTGTGCAGCATAGATGTTGATTTGGGTAACTTGCTTTCAGTGTATTACTTGATTGAACTCTTTATTTTACATTTAATTCTATGGGATAATTGTAGATCTTAATAGATTTTTTGACTCTCTATGCCGATAGTTCATTATGGTATTTTGTGATGTCTGTGTTAGGGTTTTGTTTTTGTTTGTCATGATTTATGCAGTATCTAGAGGTCTAAGTTGATAGGCAACTAATAAATAAATAAACTCTTGCACAGAGTCCGGTGAGGTGCATATGTCCCCTCTGATTCCCTTCTGCACTCATTTTTAGAAGGAGGCAGTTTGGCAGACTTCACATGAGAACTCTGCAGACCCATCTGCTTCTACAAATGAGGATTTTCACTTGTTTGGGGGCTTCCCCTACAAAGTGCTAAATATTCCTTTTGCAATGAAATCAGTGGAATCCATTGCTTGTGAAATGGAATTGGCAGAGCAGAATGGAATCAGAGAGGGTATAAGCCTCCCATTGGATTCCGGCCCTTGTAACTTGACCTGGATGAGATAAAATTTGAGTTAAGGAAAATGAATTAATATTATTTATTTTATTCATTATATTTTTAACCTGCTCAGTGTACTCTGGAGCATCCCCAAGCTACAAACCTGCTCCTTCAAGGGGAGTGCAACCCCATCTAGAACAAGTTGAATTCCCTCCATTCAGTCAGAAGAACCACCCAGTTATAGCATCTCAGTCCTGTCTGGATTGGGCTTCAGTTTGTTAGCCCTCATCTAGTCCACTGTCACAGCCAGGCACAAGTTCAGCACATCCACAGCCTCATCTGCTAAAGATGAAAAGGAGAGATAGTGCTGTGTGTCATCAGCATACTGATGGAAACTCACTCCAAAACTCTGAATGACTTCATTCAGTGGTTTCATGTAGCTATTAAATAACACAAGGGACAAAACTGACTCCTGGGGAACCACATACTGGAGAATCCAAGGGGCAGAGCTATATCCCCCAAGTACCACCTTCTGGAGCGTATCATCCAAGCAGGAGTGGAACCACTGCGAGACTCCTAGCTCAGACAATCACCCCAGAAGTATACTATGGTCAATGATACTGAAAGCTACTGAGAGGGCCAGGAGAACCAACAGGGTTGCATTCCCCCATCTCTCTCCTGACATAGGTCACCCTACAGGGTGACTAAAGCTCTTTTCATGCCGAAATCAGGCCTAAACCCCAACTGAAATGGATCCAGATAATCAGTCTTATCCAAAAGTACCTGGAGCTGGTTGGTGATGACCCACCTGGGAAGGAGATATTTGACACCAGCCTAAAATTATTGAGTACTTCTGGGTCCAGGGAGGGCTTCTTCAGGAGTGGTCTCAGCACTGTTTGTTTCATGTGGCTCGAGACCACTCCTTGTAGCCTTAATCACCTCCCTGGCTCAGCCAGCAGTTGCCTCCCTATTGAGTTTCATTGCCGGGGGGGGGGGGGGGGGGCAACGATCCACTATGGATGTGGTTGCATGAACTGGTCTAAGCACCTTGTCAACATCCTCAAGCTGTACTAACTGGAACTCATCCAACCTAACTAGCCCATAACTAGAGATTATCACAATAAGAGGTCATGCTACTCAACAGATTTGCTGTATCCAGTCATTTTGTATTGTGAACTATACCTTACACATTTGACTGCAGAACACATATGGAGAACGTGTGAACATAGAACATAAGAAGCTACCCTATGCGGAATTGGCCTCTCTAGCCCACTATTGTTAACACAGATTGGCAGCAGCTTTCCAAGGGATTATAGGCAGGGATATTTCCCAACCCTACCTGGAGATGCCAGAGACTGAAGCTGGAACCTTTTGCATAGAAAGCATGTGCAGAACCACCAAGTAATCTGGGACAGCACATATAGGAAGCTGCAAAGGACTGAATCAGACCTATTAGATTGTCTAGCCCAGCACTGCCAACTCTAGAGTTTCAGGCAGGATCTCTTCCTACCTACCTGGAACTAGACCCAGATCCTTCTGCATGCAAAGGATATGCTCTGCCACTGAACTAGACCTCCCCCACCCCCACAGTTATCATTCAGGTGATGTGAATATAAATTTCTGCAATTTGTTAGAAGCCCATTACTCCTCTCAGTATGCCTAGAGAGAGGTTAATGCAATTGATTATGTAATTGAGTTGTGCATTTACAAGTTCAAATTATGCTTACTTTATCTTATTTAAAAGGCAATTAAATACTCATGAGATGGTAAAAATGAACCATCAATCATCATTGTAAAGCTCAAAACAAAGCCATTTTTGGATAGATGGGATAAAAATTAAATATATAAAAATAAAGGTTAAAGGTACAGGTTTCCCCTTGACATTACATCCGGTCATGCCTGACTCTAGGGGACAGTGCTCATCTCTGTTTCCTAGCCGAGGGAGCCAGTGTTTGTTCGCAGACTGTCTCCATGGTCGTGGCTGGCATGACTAAACACCGAAGTGCACGGAACGCTGTTACCTGCCCACCGAAGTGGTACCTTTTTATCTACTTGCATTTGCATGCTTTCGAACTGCAAGTTTGGCAGGCACTGGGACAGAGCAACGGGAACTCACTCCATTGTGCAGATTCGAACCGGCAACCTTTTGATCAACCAGCCCAGCAGCGCAGCGGATTAAACCACTGCGCAACCTGCAGTCCTATATATAAAAATAAGCAGGCTCTAATGTAGAAAACTGTTTCAGTTCCTTTGTTTAAGACTAGCTGATGTTCAGTAGTTTTTCTTTTAAAATAGGAGTTTGAAAGCTGTCCGAAACACAAATCCCACAAGTTAGTCTTCCTAAGTTCTACAAGTCAACAAGGTAATGAACAAAGAACCTATAGTCATTTGTAGAACATTATGTCTGCTATTGTGGGTTCTAGGAGGCTGGAAACTCATCATATTGTGGTGAAATTTCAATGCGATTTCATGCCAGGTGCCTGAAACCAAACTATTTGGCATCTTTGATGGAAATTCATTAAAACAGCTTCTGCCAATTCTATTATACTAGTCTATAAATTTTAGCCTGCAAGCTCTGGTCTATTTTCTGGGTCATTCAGAACTAGTTCTCATATTTTAGTAAGGATGTTAAAATGAAATGCACTGCGACAATATTGTTAATTGGCTATACTTTCTGTCATCTAGTAGAAACATAAATAGTAAGCTTATGGAAAATCTTCATGATATCTATTGGTATATCTGCTAGAGAAAACTAAATAGATCCATCAAAGATTACTGTACTTATAATCTTTGCCATGTTAATCTTTATAGAAAGGGCAGTTCTATAAACCTAATGGTGGTATATCTTATTTTAAAAAATTCACTGTTAAAACTCATGCACCTTCACTTACACAAATTTCTTGGAGAAACGATTCAAATGTTATATGCACAAGCAACATTTTGTTCCTGAAAAACTCCAATTTTCAACCATTTCTGTTTTTAATTTAGAATGAATGGATGGGTTTCCAACCTTCCAGTACAGTGGTTCATAGGTTTTTCTTTGTACTGATGCTTTGTCACAGAACTTGTTTTCAATGCCAGGGCTACACTGTATTACTCGTAGTATTAGAACAACATCCAGAAGAATAGCTGTACAGCAAAAACAAGCACTTTAAAGGCTAAGCCATAATATTGCATGCATAAGAAGCAGATCAAGCCCGTGAAAAATCATGCTCTCATAAGTTTGTTATATGCCTTTTTATTTCGATAGCATTAGAAAAAACACTAAATATATGATTGATCTTGACCACATGCAGAGTGGTCAGCAGTTTTCAACAGATGAGCAACTATGTCTAGTACTGACATTGCAGATAATTTGGGGCAAAGTCTTCTAGATAAGGACATCTAGCTTCCAAGCAAGCTAAGATACTATGAGTTCTTTCTATACTCAGAAGGAAATTTAGGTGGTGCAAAAATAAATATTTCTCCTGAGCTGTGCTTCTGTTACTTAGTAGTATTTATACCTTGATAACTATATTAATGTGATGGAGAAGGGGAGAGTTTCTCTGATGAAGTTACAAGGT